TTTAATTAGGTGACTAATCGCACATAAATAAAAAGATTGATAACGACTCCTTATATCAATCTCTAGCAATAGGTTCATAGGCCTAAACGTTATGACATTTAGATTTGCCTTGAAACATATGTTCCACAATGCCTTCTTTACATGTTAAAGGAAACTAAGATATAGCTTCTTGCATGTGGTTTCTTCAATGTTGGATTTCTCCTACAAATCAACAAGAATCAACCAAACAGCCAAAAAGTTGAGCTAGCAATCACAACCACAACAATAACAACAATAATAAAAAAGTCTTATATCCCATAACTATGAGATCAGCTGTATGTTAGGTCATAATTTTAAATCTTTTTACACCACTCATTTTTATAAAAAATAATCTTTTCATCTACTTCTTTAACTCTTATAGTATTTCTTATTATTTATATCCACGTTTTTCATGATTTACCTCTAGAACCTTTGATCTCTCTCAAGAAGTTCATTTCTCCTTTCAGTGGACGACCACTAAGCATAGAAATTTTCTATAGAAAATGTCATTTGTTAATAGAATGCAAAAGCTACAGCAAATTTGTTAACATCAAGCTTTTACGGTCTTACAGAAACATAGAGCGTACTTTTTTGAGTTCTTTATCAGGTCTCATTAAGAACTTTAGATCAATCAAACTACCTAAACCATATCTTGAGATCTGAACAACTAATCCATACATGATCTCCATGGATGCTGAATTTTGAAAAATAGATAGTTAACAAGTTTTGAGCTTTGAGCAAATTTTCCAATTACCTTGTTTAACAAAGAATAAATCCTAACTGATTGTGGCTGAGCAAAACAAAAAAAAAAAATTACAGTAGCTGATTACATGAAACTAACCTGCTGTTGTAATTTAAACATTTAGGGACTCAACTGTAGCTTTCAGGTTCTCATTTGTCATTAGTGACAACATCAGTTATTAGTTAACCTCATACCAGTTTGTAAGTTTGATTCTTTAATTGGAACACTGAGAGAATATAGCATGATATGATATGATATGATATATATATATATATATATATCTAATATCATATCATATCATATATATATCTAATATCATATCATATCATATTATGTTATATCCTCACAAAATCTTAATATGAGATTGAGACATTACAGCTTTCATGTGATTAAAGCCAGCAAATCAAGTCTCTGTTAAGTATAAGACATCTAGCAAAACTTTGGCCGACGTATGCTACCAGTCACACAAAGATGAACTGTAGCTTCAAAAGGCAAAAGACCGAGCCGCTTATTAGATAGTGTTTAGTAGACAGCTGTCAATGGGGTAAAAAACACTGGCCTTAGAGTTTAAAGACACAAATTTTACTTTAAAAAAAAAAAGAACTAAAAGAAAAAGACATAGCATTTGCACAATGCTATGTGCTACTACATTGCTAAAGTTACGCCCATTAAAGCATAGAATAAAACATTATTCATCCTTAGGATCGAACTCAAATATTGTCCAAAGACAAATATCTATATACGATGCTTACCCTGAATCCGAATAACATAGAGATTGGTTTAGATTCTTAAATGATATTCTACAAATTATTAAATTATCCTTTGTAAACAAATAAGATTGTTAATTACATCATTTAATTAAATAAAATAAGTTAAGAGTGTTTTTTTCCTCATTTTGCGTACATTTTTAAGACTTAAAAAGGGTTTGGTTCACTTATATTAACACAATCAAGTCATAATCTCTATAATTTTTTATACAATTACAAAAATTACATTAATAATTTAAAAGATGACACTTGGTTCAACATTAATACGGCAATAAAACTACCAAAGTAGATTGTAATCAAATTCCCTTAGTTGCTTAGGTGATGACCATTTAACTTAAAAAGTTGGAAACTAAAATGCCTTCTAAACCAATGGAACAAATCTCTTCTCCTTTTCTCCCTAACTGTTTTATCCAAGCCACTTGCACCAGCCTAAATCTTACTAGAAAAGTGGTTAGTTCACCTCTGCCGACTCAATATTTTTATATTAGCTTTGCCTTTTTGAATTTTTCATAATTTTCTTACCAAAAATATCTGTGCATTAGTTAATATTTACTCATGAAAAGTTACAATTATAAAGATGATCAAGCTAAATGATCTTTCGTGGAATGAACTTAGATCGTTAATAGTGATTAGATCATTATTTTACAGGATGATTTAACTTTTATTTAAAAATATGAAAATGTTTCATAACAAAAATAGAGTAATATATAAAATTAAATATTGATATCACCATTTTAATGTATGAAGTAAAAATTTGATTCCTCTCAAACTTTTAATTATTTTATGTTATAAGTTTTTATTTTTTAAATAATATTAATTGAACCAAACTTCCAAATAAATTGTATTCTTTTTATTTTTTAATGTTTATATCATATATTATTGTTTTTTATTATATGACTTTGATAAATCTAATTCAAATTCTTTTACCTAATTTATTTTATAAAAATTAGTTTACTTATCAAGGAAACCAGGCCATGGGAGCTATGAAAAGAGCCGGAAGAGATAGATCAGTTAAAAGAAAAGACTGGACAAGGGGACCTGTGCATGTGTACAGGGAAGCCAACACCTTTGCAGATTCGTTGGCTAAAATGGGAGTTGAAGCTACAGGGAGTTGAAAGAACTGAGGTGTAGGGGAGTTTGTATGTACTTTGATTGCAGAAACGTATCAGGAGAATATGGCAACAGCTGTTAAGCTGCGCGTCCGAAACATGTACTGCTGAATTGCATTAATAAAATGAATGGCTGAAAAAAAAAAAATCATTATATCTACTTTTATATTTGTTGATTTAGTAGGTTAATTATATATCATATTATGGAGGAAGATATTTATAATATTTTATAAATTGTTATATATATTCAAAATAATATTAAAATTAACTCACGCAATTATTATACTATGATTATTTAGGTAATTTCAAATAAAATATTATTTTATTCATAATAATATCAAATATAGTGATTTTTCAAGCCTGTAAATTAATGATTATTAATTAAGTAAAGTAATTTTCAATCATGAGTAATAAGATCATATTGGTAATTAAATTCTCATGATGATTATGAATGATATCAAACATTAATGTAAAGAAAGAAACAACAGAAAATTTTGATTGAGAATAATTTCCAAAATGTGAAATTTGTATTATTTAAACATTATATTAACAAAATAGGTTTCTAATATTTAATTTAATCATTAACAATATATGAACTTTTTGTTTTTTAACTTAATCTTGTTTTATAAAATTAAAGTTTTGTACTTTTATTTTATTATAAAAATTATATTTTTTATATTAAAAAAGCCAGTGAAATTTTTAAACACCGTGTTGCCACATATCTCTTTATGATATATTAAAAAGAAAAAAAATTAATATAATTAATAAAATATACATGACAATTTTGTAAGATTATTTTTTAATTTTAAAAACAGCTATGAATAAAAATGGACTCTTCAAATATACCTTTCACTTCTTGCTTTCAAAATCAAAATAAAATAAAATAAAATAAGCAAAGTAAATAGTTCAAGAAAAACAAAAGTAAACAAGTAAAATGTCAAACTAAAATGCTACTCAAATACATTTTTTTAGACTTATCATAAAAATAATTTCTTTCTCGGTTTTTCAAAAGGTAGATCACCATCCAAGAAATATGGTTTTTTTTTTTTTTTGTCAATCAAGAAATATGTTGGCTATTTTTATATTCTTTGTAAATCTTAAGTTTGAACTTTAACAGTTAGTTCAAACTTCAGCTAGAGCAGATAGCTGAGCTTAATTGCTAGAAAGCCAATAAGCTTAGGGTAGCCTCTGTATCCCTAATAAGTCCTCATCATATAAAAAAAAAATTTTTGAATCAATTTTGGGGCATAAACCATTAAAATTAAAGTAGTAGGCTAGCTCTAACTAACTTAGCATTCCATCCAAACTCTTTTGTGTTTTAGTACTCCTCCACTCTTCTTAATTCCCTCTCTATATTTTCTTAACCTTGAATATCATTTTTACATGAATAACATGCTTTAGAGTGGATATAAAGACTCAAAATCTAAATGTTATTTTTGAAAACAAAAGTAATTTAACAATCAAACTTTTCTTTCCCCTTTCAAAAAATGTTAAAACATAAAAACAAAAACGATACCAAACAATCATTCATGAAACTCTCATTATGCATAAGTTGATAACCATAAGTGTTTGCCCAAAGAAATAATACCAAACTTTCCCTAGACTCCTAGTATTATCTGTAGTACAAGAAATGCATACTTCAAAGTTCGATTCAAGTGTCCTAGTTATATGTTATATGTTATATGTAAAATTTACATGGAAGCAGCTGTCATGTTAAACATAGCAGTGTTAAGACCTGAGGTCCCCCCCCCCCACTTCACTTCACCAGTTGGAAGCTGATAAAACTATCATTAGTTTCAACTATTTCTTGTTTAATGTGCCAACTGTTTGTTTTCCCAAACAAGAAAGTTCTCTAGTTTTTTTATTGTTTTTTTTTTTGGATATAGTAAGTACTTAAATTGTTTATCAGAGTTTATCCAACAATTGAAAAGTCTCAAGAAAATTTCTTCTTGAAGCTTTGTTCAAACATACAAAGATAAGACAGCACCTCAAACAAGAACACTGAGGTTGTATCCTATCATATCATATCATCAAACATCTCTTCTTGCCAGTAAATATGATACCCGTGTGTTCTTTTGACTATATTTTTTACAGTTTATTACCAAAACAAAGACTTCTTACCACCTGTTTTTATTTCTTCTGAATTGTTTCTCTTTTGTTATTGACAGTCCAAAAATGCAAAAGATATATAAATTTAATCAATCAGATTTCTAAGACAAGTTGTTTACAATAGCATTCATCCAACAACAAGCAAAGAAAGGAAAAATAAAATATGTTAAGAATCCATAAGAAAAAGTGAAAACAAATAAGGAAAAAAAAAAAACGAAAAATGAAGAAATAGTATTAAATTAAGAAAGATCGTACCAGGAATCTGTTGAGTATTCAGAGAGCTTCCCTTTATTTGAGAAGACAAGCAGAGCAACCTCAGCATCACAAAGGACAGAGATCTCATGGGCTTTCTTCAACAAACCTGACCTTCTCTTTGAAAAAGTCACTTGCCTGTTGATTTTGTTCTCTATTCTCTTCAGCTGAACCCTACCCCTCCCCATGCTGATGATACCCTTCCTTCCTTCCTTCCTTCCTCCCCTATGTTGAGAATTCGATCCTTAATATAATAACAAACTCAAAACACCCAGAAAGCAAGAAACTGACAGTGAGTTCGAAGAGAAAGAACAAAAGGGTTGCTATCACTTTCTCCGGGTATCTTTTATCGAAAAAAAAAATGGTTTCCTTATTATCTCTTTCGGCTGCTGGCAATGCTCTTTAACAGGAGGAATTAGAGAGTGTATATATACATAGTTGGTACATATATCATATATATATATAACTATGCTCTTTAACAGGAGGAATTAGTGAGTGTATATATACATAGTTGGTACATATATTATATATAGAAAATACGGAATCCACTTTGAAGAAAGAAAGGCAGATTGGATGTAGAAAATGGGTGGTATTGAAAAACAAGAATGGTTTCGTCAAAACTGTTGTCGAACTCCCATTGGCTTAAACCCCTGCAACGGTGGTTGTTGTCTGCCCTCTAGGCCGCATGGTTTTGACATTTTGTCCCTGCTTTCTAACTCATTTTATTGCTGGCCCAGTGTACGGAAATGGAATTTTTTCTTCTCTTTCAAGTTACCACTCTAGATTTTATTATAATTTAGTCTCTTCCACAAACAATTTTTTATAACAAATTATTGAATTTAAAATCTTATTCAAATATTACCCCAAAAAAAAAAAATAAAACTCTAATGAAGAACTTATTTTCTTACCAACTAAATCAACCTCATGCGAGTATTATTAAACTAAATGTTACAAGTATTAATTCATGTTTTTTACATTACAAAACATATTTTTTTATAATATTAGTGCAACACCCTTAATCACATCATAAAAATATGAATATATGATATATATATAAATTTAAATTTATGTTTATAAAATATTTTTATAAGATAAAATCATAAAATTTTTAGATTAAAATATAAAATATTTAGTAAGTTGGATGTAAATTTTTATAAATAATATAAAAAAAATCATTAGTCGAATAAAAGTTAAGTATTATATTATAAGAGTTACTTTGAAATATTGAGAAAATTAAGTGTTACACGATAAAAATCACATTTAAAATCTTAATATCTTGTGTGATTTTGATTCTACAAATCTATGTATATTTTATGTTAGGTCTACAAGAAACAACAAATTTTGTTGAATTTGACGTGAACGTCAAATTTTAATGAAAAAATTATAATACTTCTAATTTCAAATTAAAAGAATATAAAAATATAATATGATATATATATAAATTTAAATTTATACTTATGAAATATTTTTTGTAAAATTAAATAATAAGATGTTTAGATAAAAAATAAATAATACTTTACCAATTAAGTACAGGTCTCTATAATTAGTTTAATGAATAGTATTAATTAATAAATAACAATTAATATTTTATTTCATTACCATACCTGCATTTCTTTTTGTCATTTTCCGGTCTTGAAGGGATTAGCTGAGGGGAGGAAATAAACTGACCGGGATTCTAGTTTTATGGCTGTTGGGGCTTCAGGCCTCCCTGAGATTTTTTTTTAACAAACCATTCATTAGTCATCGTGTCACCGTCGACATGTTCCAATTTTTTTTTTTTTCCTTTTTGTTTGTAGGTGAATACTTTTTTACATTGAAATACTCTCAATTCATTTATACAATTATGTAATATTTAATAAATTTTGAGTTTAAATTTTGTAATATTTTCATCTATCCTTAGATTATAATTCAATTTGTAAAAAAACAAATTATAAATATTTGTTAAGAATATTATATCTATTATTTGATATTTCTTAGTATATTTCAATTCTTTGTCAACTGACACGTTAATTTGGATTTCTAGAACAAGCTTAATTATATTAAGATGAGAGATTAAGATTTTTAGTGATTAATATGTTTTCCCCAAAAGTTTTTAACTTTTCATCGTTTTATTTTAAATTTTATTGTTAATTAAAAACTTTTAATTAAGCGATTTTTACATATATATCATTAATTTTAACTTTTTAAAAAATATTTTTTTTGTCTCAAAATTTTTTAATTGTATTGATTTTTATGAAATTTTAAACAAATTGATTTTTATATATTTAATATTAAAATTAAATTTTTTTTGTAAAATTAAAGATCAATAATTTTTAATTTAAATAGCAAAAAAAATTATTAAAAAATTAATCTTAATATAAACAATAAGAATTTTAGATGTTCAAAAAATAAAAAAATAATTTTGAAATATCTAAAAAAAATTAATTAAAAGTATTATACTCTCATAATTAAAAAATTTTATTAAAAGTAATCACATTGTGACATGAAAAGAGTACAAATTAATATTAGTTTTTTTTTACCAGCAAATTTGTGGTTATTTTTTAAATTAAAACAAACAATTAAAATTAAATGGGCTTGGTGAGTTTATCAAAACACCACTAAATTAAAGAGTGTGCCCCTTACAAACACACACCCAAAGAACCAATACAAAATTTTTTTTCTCTAAGACAAAGTAAGATTTTATTAAAAATAGTAAAATAGTTATAAATATTCAATCACAGATAAAATAAAATAGAGCACAGAAGATATAGAAGTCCAAAATGATAGTGTGCCAACACCACATGAAAAATTCAAAAGCAATATAAATAACAACAATCTCAACACACAAAAAAGAATGTAAACCAACAGCAAATTATGAATTCAAAAGCCTAAATTACTAAAGATCCCAATTAAAAATCATTAAAAAAGAATTTGAATTACTTTCCTCATCATGCTGCTTTTCTTTTTCATTTTCATAAGTTTTATAATTATGATACACTCTTCTAGATAGGAAAACCCAAGCTTTTCTCCCAATTCTTAAGTTTTGATAGCTTCATCATAAAGTATTTATATTGCGGATGTCATTGTCAGAAGAATTTATATTTAGTGCATCGTTAATATATAGATTTTAAATATTATTAATGAATCGGATGATATCATTTATTAATGTGTAAGTTATTAAACAAATATTAATTTTTTTATATATATTTATTTGAAAGGTTAATATTTATTCATTAATATGTTACTATTATTTCATTCACTAATAGTTTATAAAATCTATATATTAATAGTTCATCAAATATAAACTCTTATAAAAAAAATACATATATCATTCTCAGATATTACGAGATGAGTAAGATACGTTCAACAAACTTAAAATGTGCCTTCTTCCTATTCCATTTAAAATTTTTTCTCTTCTTTTGCTTTTAAAAAATCTTCAATGTCCAACTGTTTACAAGATTAAAACAAGCATCATTACACTCATATTAAACCTCACACTCATTATCCTCAACACCCCCGTCATCCTTATGACCATCATCAACATTACCTACCTCCAATGGGTTAGATGATGAACTAGTCTCCTCCCAAGAATCATCACCCATGCAACCATTAACATCCATCATAGAGTTAATCACCTCCTTGTCAACATTCTCCGCACCACAATTCAAGCTTGTAGTGTGTAATCTATTACAAGAACTATCCACTTCATTGTTTTCATTCGAATCAATCCCAAACCCACTATCTTGGTCAAAAGTTGCATTAGTATCGTCCATAGTTCCTACACTGCAATATGCATATTTATCCCTCTCCATATAGAGAAGCAGCAACTACCTCATTTTGAGAATGATTAGATTCCTCACACAACACCTTAGATTTATCAGATTGTGGCTTTTCGACTTCTAGATTATGGCAATCCAGCTCTTTCTCACTATTAAGCTTTGAGTCTTCTGAACCCTCGGAAACATAAGATTTAATAATATCCTCAAGATTAACCTTTATAATTAAAGAACCATTTTGTAAAGAGACTTGAATATGCGCAATCAGTAAACTATAGGAATCCTTAGTGGCAGTCTCAATTACTTTTTCCACCAAGTCCTTGGTTTTCACAACACTAGACTTAGGGACAATATTCTTGCGTGACGGAAAAATGTTTTACGTTTGTTTCGGTTCCCCCTTAACCACATAGGCATAGGTAAATTTACTATTTTGAAGGCTTTCACACTTAAAAATTGAAGTTCTGTGAATGGATGAGCTATGATTCAACCCAGAAGTACCCTTTGCAATGTAGAATCTAAGCTTAAAGCTACTGGTCGATATTAGATTCAGAGAAGTTAACAGACTCTCAGCATCATCAATGTTTCTAAAGCTTATGAAACCGTATCTTTGATCTCTAATGTTTCATTTGCAGGTATGAAGACATCCACCATATCACCAAAACATTTGAATTTATTTCAAAGTCGTCTAAAATTTCATGAATCAGGAATATTAGTAGAGTGTATATTAACTATATCATCAATCTTCGAATTGGTTTTAGAGGGTAAAATTTTTATCTGCATTGGATGGGTATACTCATGACTCCGATTAGCAAGATATTATTGAAAGTTGTCAATGCTAGAAGGTTCCCTCGCTTCTTTTTGGTTCATCATTCCTAAAATAGTTAATACAAGGTTGCAATCAAAACCCAATCTAATTCCAACAATGGTCTGCCTCCCATCCTCTTCATGGGTTAAATGGGTGTCTCTCGGCCGGAGCTGTTGTGAGGGGGTGGTGGAGTGAAGTGCCGCGACAAGGGGGAGGCCAAATCACAGGAGGTTGACGACATAGTAGCAAGCGTGTTTTGCCAAAACTCTGACACGACTATTTATAAATTTTAGTTATTAATGTAAGTTTTCAGTAGCTTTCCCGCTATTATTATTTTTTTACGATAATTAAATGTATAAATAATATATTAATACTTATAAATTATTGGAGTTCAAATTAGATAAAATTTAAATTGGGATCGGTTTTGTTGAGCTTAGCTTGAATAGCTCGATTTATCCAATAAATCGAGTTTGAATATTTTAAAATTTGACTCGAATAGTTGAAAGCTTAATTGAATTTTTATATTTTAATTTATTTTTATTATTTTAATTAAAAAATTATTATTTTACTTTTATATATATTAATTCAAATTTAAATTTGAACACAAATAATTGAATTTGGAGTCAAGTATGAGAATCAAAATCATTTTTAATTCAATAAATAAATATAATTAAACGAACTCGAGTAATTCAATTTTATCTTAAATTGAGTTTGAGGTTGAAAATTAAAATTCGATCGAGTTTGAACTAATTTTGAATAGCAACTTTCAAATCGAGCTCAAATTTTAATTTCTCACTATATCAACTCAGTTTAATTGAATTACACCTCGAATGATAATAACAATATTAACTTCAAGCAAGCTTTTCTCACTTCAGTGTTTGAAGAACTTGAGCAACAAACACAAACTCAACTCATTATCAATATCAATATCCACCATCTTCGTCCCCATCTAGAGATGTTCATGGTTGAGTCGAATTAGGTTAGAGTTAGACTCATACTTGGTATTAATAATTTATATGCTTGTTTAAGTCTAAATTAATCTAAAATTTCAGGCTTCTAAATTTTTTCAAGCCTGATTCAAATTAAAAAAAAAATCAAATCCACCAATTAAACTTAATATATACTAAAAATTAAAAAAAATGATTAAATTAAGTTTAATGAGATTATATTCAATTTACATATATATATATAAATTAAAAAGAAAAATTATTTATAATTTCTATAATTTGTATATATATAAAAATTAAAAATAAAAATTTTATTTTTAATTTTTATATATATGTGATTTAATTTTATATATAATTTACATATATATAAAAATAAATATATATATATATATATATATGATTTGGGCTGATTAAACGAGGTTCAAATTTTAAATTTTTTGTTTAAAATTTGATTTGAAATTTAAACGAATTTAAAAATTTTGCCTGAACCCATTTAAGAGATTTTAAATTTTTATTTAAATCCTCTCAAAAATTGAATGAATTTTTAAATTTAAACGAATAATTTGATTTTTGAATAGGTCTATTCCCATCCCGTCTTTATCCCCTATCATCTGTTCAGTGGCAAAAAAATTTGAAAGTCCAACTGGTAGTTAAAAACAAAAAAAAATAAAATCTTAAATGTACCATATTGTCATTGATTGAACTTTTAATCCAATAATTAATTCTCAACTTATGACACATGTATTAATCCAAATGTTAAACACGTGTGGCAAGATAACAAATTAACAAGATTAACAAATAGGGTTTATATATGTATAAACCTTTTTGGAAACAAGTTTGAAATTTAAAAAGAAAACTATTTAAAAATAAAAATAATTGTCGTAATGGTTTTGTGTTCGTCCGACGAATTTGGAAATAAAATAAAAAATAACGGAGTCGCCATTAATCTTTTTTTGGTTAGGTACGATTGGACACCTATTAAAACATATCTTTTTAATTAATTAAAATTTATTAAAAAAATAATTTTAGGGTCTGCGCAACTATTTAGGTTCGGGAGTCGGTTACGTGTGAAGAAGGATTAGCACCCCCACAGCGCCTGTTAAAAAACGGTACCAATTAACCACGTGTTATTCTTTGATTTTGATAAAAATAATCCAATTTTCGGTGTTCGAAAAATAATTTTTTTGATTTTTTTATTTATTAAAAAATTTATTCTCGAGAAAAATAAATTAAAACATTTTTATTGAAATAATTCTTAAAATGTTCCAGTACGTTGGTAACATTAAAAGAACTCTTTCTTACTTAGAGATTTCTTAAAGCATCTCTACTCGGAATACTTTTAGAATCTCATCTTTGAAGGCTCCAATTTATTTTTCGTAAGAAAATGTCATGTTAAAAAAAATATTCTCGAGAAAAATAAATTAAAACCTTTTTATTGAAATGATTCTTAAAATGTTTCAGTACGTTGGTAATATTAAAAGAACTTTTTCTCACCTAAAGATTTCTTAAAGCATCTCTACTCGAAATATTTTTAGAATCTCATCTTTGGAGATCTAAATTTACTTTTCGTAAGAAATTATATCATGCATGCCATGCAAAATATTTTCATGTTTATGCACACATTTTATTCTCATTCAAAAATTTTATTAATTATTTAATTTTAATTAAAATTTTGAAGAAAAAATAATTTAATTATATTGAAGATTTTTTATAAATATTTCAATACGCTGGTAATATCTTACAAAAAATCTTCTCACCTAGAGATTTCTTAAAGCATCTCTACTCGGAATACTTTTAGAATCCCATCATTGGATTAAATTTCTTTTCTTCCTATTTTTATTACTTATTTTTAATTTATTAATCAATTTTTATTTATTATTAAAAAGAAAATTTTACTGTATTGAAAATTTTTTTATAAATACTCCAATACGCTGGTAGTATTTAAAAAAAAAATCTTCTCACCTAGAGATTTCGTAGGCATCATTACTCGGAATACCTTTGAATCTCATCGTCGGATAAAAATTTTCTTTTCCTATATTTTTTATTACTTTAGTATTATTATTAAATTTATTTTTATATAATTGTTTTTAAAGTTTATTAACATAATTACATAAAAAAAATTTAACCACAATTTCATCAATTAGTCTAATAAATATAAATATTTTAACATACATAAATATTAATAAAATAATATATAAAATTTAAAAAAATTTAAAAAAAATTTTTTTTACCTGAACCGGACCGGTCAACGCCCGATTCGATTCGACGGTTCGGCTCGGTCTGGGCGATTCAATACCGATTCGGTTCGGTCTGGGCGGTTTGGTTTCGGTTCAGTCAGACCGATCAGAGGCTGATGAAGGAAACTGGTCGCGGGTCAGGTGCGCGGATCCCGAGTTGGGTCATGGGTCGACGCGCGGATCCTTCTTGACCAAAACGGCGTCATTTTGACCTTATGCTCAAAACGACATCGTTTTGCTTTTAATGATTTCTATAAATAACTGAAAAAAATTTTTTTTGCTCATTCTTTCAGTTTTTCAAAAAAAAAAAGGGAAGAGAGCTCTGGGGTGAGCTCGTCGGCCGGTCGTCGGACCACCGTGTAGATCGCAGTCTGGGTTGCCGTCGGCAGTCGTTGCCGGTGGTTTTTGATCACCGAAAAAGGTGAAAATTCTTTTGAAAGTTCTCTACGATGCGATCTTTCGAGATCCGGTGTCTTTTTTATCGAAAACAACTTCGATCGACGTAAATTGGGGCTCAAAGTTTCGGTCTATTTTTTTTTTTTTCTGGACAGAATCGACTGATCTCTCTCTTTTTTTTTTTAGATGGCTTTCTGGCGCTGGGTTCCCCGTTCCAAGGGACTGTTGTTTTTTTTTTTGTGTTTTTACAAAAAAATTTTTTTTTACAGAAGTTACCCTTCTTTTTTTTTTTAGCCGTTTTTTTGCCTCCTTCCCTTTTTTGGTCTGGTTTACAAGCTCTATTTATAGAGCTTGTTGGGATTCAAATATAAAATTTTTTAAGATTCGAATCTCATTTTTCAACTGAAAAATCACACCTACCGTCCGTGATTGGTGGCTTGTCAGTCGTTGGCAGCTATCGGTAGTGCTTTTGACTTTAGGGATTGTGCATTTAATACACTAGATTTGAACCATATAAGGATGAAGAAAAAGGAAAAAGAAAGAAAGAAGAAGACAAACGCAGAAATGAGAAGAAAAAAAAGAAAAGAAAAAGAAAAAAAATTAAATAATAATAATAATAAAAATTAAAAAAAATGGTGTTTACAATTGCCCCTCTTTGTCTATTTCTGTGAAACAAGAATAAGGTAAAGATAAATAACCAACCATTTTGCTTGGAAAGATGAAACATTGAGAAAAAAAATTTTTTTTTTGGTTCGACAAAAAATGGGTCCTCTCAACAGAGGTTCAATCGATATTTTTGAAAGTTTAAAAGGCTCATCTCAGTAGAGGCTCAACAACTTTAAAAATCTAATGAAAAGGCTCCTTTCAGTAAAGGCTCAACGATTTTAAAATTCTCTTGAAAAAGCTCATCTCAGTAGAGGCTCAACGACTTTAAAATTCTCTTGAAAAGGCTTCTCTCAGTAGAGGCTCAACAACTTTAAAATCCTCTTAAAAAAGCTCCTCTCAACAGAGGCTCAACAACTTTAAAATCGCTCCTTTCAACAGAGGCTCAACAACTTTAAAAATCTCATCTGGAAAAGCTCCTCTCAGCAGAGGCTCAACAACTTTAAAATTTCATCTTGGAAAAGCTCCTCTCAGTAGAAGCTCAACAACTTTAAAAATTTCATGAAAAGGCTCCTCTCAACAGAGGCTCAATAACTTTAAAATCTCATAAAAAAGCTCCTCTTAGTATAGGCTCAACAATTTTAAAAATCTCATCTGGAAAAGCTCATCTCAGCAGAGGCTCAACAATTTTAAAAATTCATGAAAAGGCTCCTCTCAGCAGAGGCTCAACAACTTTAAAATCTCATGAAAAGGTTCCTCTCAGCAGAGGCTCAACAACTTTAAAATTCTCATCTGTTTTTAAATTTGAGTTCGTATCTTTTAACAATTAAATTTCCTCTTTTGAATTCTTTTGTTTGATCATTGTCTTTACCAAAATCTTGTTTTTCATTAAGAAATGGAAAATTTCTATCTTTGTTACAACTTATCATGGATGCATGTACTGAGTGCTCATAATACAATGCATGTAATGCAATCAAAATCATTCATTGTAGTAAAAAAGTTCTCGAAATCTCTCACTTTTGGCTTCTTTTATCAGAATTCTCATATGACCAATCTATTCTCAACATCTGACCACAATTTTTTTTCTTCAAAAGTTTGCAACATTAATGTCTTATCATGTTTTTCTCATCCTTTTTCATTTGTCTTTGTCAACTTTAAAAGTAATGCTGAAATCTTTCATGTTTGTTTTTTTTTTCATCATTTTAAGTTCAAGACAAATAAAATGCAATCACACATTTATCTTATTCACTTGCATGATGGATAAAAAATATCAGATAAGGATAAAGGAAAGGATAGGCTTTATTTTCAAAGGAAAGATAATGTATTTCATATGGTTGATAACAAGTGCATGTCAAAGTGTTTGAGTTGAAACAAAAGTGTCAAAAGAATGATCACAAGATAATTATGAACAAAATATTCTCAGATTCTTTCTCTAAAACTAAATCAGATGATTTCTTTGATCATTCAAAATTCGTCAAACTACACTTGCCCTTGCATTGTGGGATCTTTTCTTAATGATGCTTCTGCTTCACATCCAAGCCGCCGTTTCAGGTTTTCAGCTTAGATAAGTCATCATCATTTTTTTTCTTTTTTTTTTTATTTTTTTAAGTAAAATATTTCTTCACAACATCTGAATTTATTGGGGTAGACAAATCATCTCCGTTCATTTCTGCCAAAATCAATGCCCCACCAGAAAATGCCTTTTTCACCACATACGGGCATTCCCAATTTGGTGTCCATTTCTTTCGATTATCATGTTGATTTGGAAGGATTCTTTTTAGCACTAAGTTTTCTTCCCTAAAGCAACGGGGATGAATTTTCTTGTCATGTGTTCTCATCATCCTCTTTTGATATAATTGACCATGACAAAGTGCTGACAATCTTTTCTCTTTGATGAGGTTTAACTATTTGTAACGATTTCGAACCCATTCTGCTTTCTCTAACTCTACCTCCATCAGGACTCTAAGTGAGGAAATTTTCACTTCGATCGGTAGCACAGCTTCCATTCCATATACCAAAGAGAATGGTGTGGCTCCAGTAGATGTTCAGACTGATGTTCTATAAGCATGCAAAGCAAAAGGTAACTTCTCATGTCAATCTTTATAAGTTTCAATCATTTTCTCTAGGATTCTTTTGATATTCTTATTTGTAGCTTTCACTGTCCCATTCATTTTCGGACGATATGGTGTCGAATTACGATGGTGGATCTTGAACTGAGTGCATACTTCATTCATCATTTTATTGTTCAAGTTTTTGGCATTATCAGAAATAATTATCTCTGGAAGCTCATATCTGCATATTATCTCTCTTTTTATGAACTTACATACCACAGATCGAGTCATACTAGCATATGATGCAGCCTCTACCCATTTGGTGAAGTAATCAATCATCACAAAAATGAATCTATGCCCATTCGAAGCTTTTGGAGTGATGGGACCAATGACATCCATATCCCACATAGAGAATGGCCAGGGAGGAGCTAGAACGTGTAATATTGATGGTGGAGCATGAATCTTGTTAGCATAAATCTGATATTTATGACATCTCCTAGCATAATCAATACAATCGCCCTCTATTGTCAACCAATAATAGTCGGCCATCATAATTTGTCTAGCCATCATATGACCATTTGCATGTGCCCCACAAACTTCATCATGCATTTCTTCAATAATCTTCTTTGCTTCAGCTGTATTTACACATCTTAAGAGCACTTGATCTCGACCTCTTTTGTAAAGGATATCTCCATCAATGAAGAAACTCATAGCCAATCTTTTGATAATCCTCTTATCATTTTTTGTTGCATGTTTTGGGTATTGCTGGCTTTTAATGTATTGCATGATGTCATGATACCATGGCCTTCCATCAATTTCTTTTTTAACACCTGAGCAATGTGCTGGTACATCTTTACATCCAACTTGATAAATTGGATTTTAGTATTTACATCTATTTTAATCATTGCAGCTAGAGTAGCCAGTGCATCAGTAATTTGGTTTTTCTCTCTGGGTAGATGCTCAAACTGAATTTCTTTAAATTGCTTGACCAACTCAGAGATGTATTTATGGTACTGAATCAGCTTAGAGTCTCTTGTCTCCCATTCACCTCGTAACTGATAGATGACTAAAATTGAATCTCCAAACACATCTAACACTTTGATCTTCTTTTTAATTGCTGCTTGTAGACCCATAACATAGGCCTTATATTCAGCCACATTGTTTGTGCAATTAAAATTTAATCTAGCTATGATGAGGTAATAATGTCCATCAAGAGATATCAAAATTGCTTCAATACCATGACCCAAAGCATTAGCAGCTCCATCAAAATACATCCTCTATGATTTTTCAACAGGTTTATTTTCTTCAATGGCCATCACATCCTCATCAGGAAAATCTAATTTCATTGGCTCATAATCTTCGACTGTACGATCAGTAAGAAATTCAGCTATTGCACTCCCTTTAATAACCTTTTGAGTCACATAAATGATATCATATTCTGAAAGCATAACTTGCCACTATGCTATTCTTCCTGTCAATGAGGGCTTTTCAAAGATATATTTAATAGGATCCAGCTTTGCTATGAGTCAAGTAGTGTGATAAAGCATGTATTGTCTAAGCCTTCGAGTTGTCCAAGTTAATGCACAACACATCTTCTCTAATGGTGAATACTTTGACTCTGAACTTCTCAAGTAGTAAATTATGTTTTATCTTCTTTGCCCCAGCACACATCTC